AAAACAAATCTAACCGCTGAAGAAACTTCAAAGCACAAACGAAATATAAAAAATAGTAACAAAATTATTCCTCTCTGGAATCAGAGAGGCGAAATGACCCCAGTTGGTGAGAGCCCACAGGAAGCCAATTAACCGATGTATCTCCTCTTCTCCCAATGAAAGCAAAAGTAAACGTGGGGACATGGAATGTCCGCACCATGTTTGAACCCAGCAAGGCAGTCCAGATTGCAAACGAGATGAGAAGGTATCACATTGAAGTGCTTGGAATTTGCGAAAGTAGATGGAATGGGAGTGGACTCTCCAAACTGTCAACTGGAGAATCAATAATCTACTCCAATATTGTCACCTAGACGATAAACAAGAGCACACTGAGTGATGGAGTGGCTATCATGATGTCCCTTGATCATTAGCATCGAAAGCTCTCTCTCATGCAGTGGGAACCGATCTCCTCCACAATCAGGATCATGACCGCAAGATTCGACTCAAAAGGAAGGAAGGAAGGTCACAATTATACAATGCTACCCTATGCACCTACAATTAATGCAGAGCAAGAGAAAAAGGAGGAATTCTACAGACAACTGCAATCAACACTGGACAAGACCCCGTCTCAGTTGGCGATATCAAAATTCTAATGGGTGGGGTGACATGAATGCCAAACTGGGAGGGGACAACACAGGAAGAGAACTCATCATGCATCAAGAAGCATTCGGTGAAATGAACGAGAATGGAGAATTGTTTGCAGAATTCTGTGCATTCAACGATCTGGTGATTGGAGTCAGACAGTGTGTTCAAGCACAGGGATATCCACAAAGCGAGCGACATGGATTTCACCAGACACCAGGACACACTAAAAATCAAATCTACTTTACCTCAATCTCAAGAAAATGGAGACGCAGTCTAGTTGACACAGGGTCAAGAAGAGGAGCAGATGCAGAATCAGACCACTATCTAGTGTAAGGAACCCACCCTCCAAATCAAGTCTAAAGCTTTCGACGAAGCTGGTGATAGACCACCGTTCAAGTACAACACTCGAAAGCTGAAGGATGAAACTACAAAGGAAATCTTCACGGCAGCCAGCCATCAAGACAAAATGGGAGATATCGAGGAACATCCCTGAAGAAACCTGTGTGGAAGAACACTGGAACTCTTTGAAAGAGATGTGGGAAGAAGGCTGCATAACCGTATTAGGAAGGAAGAAGAAAGAAGACAAGGAATGGATCTCGATGTATACATGGAAGCTGATAGAGAGGAGGATGATGAAGCAGAAGATAAACCAGTGCAAGGATGCACAACCACAAGAGGAACTGAGAACAATGTATAAAACACTGAAGAAGATTGCACGCAAAGACAAATGACACTTCTATGACACATTGGTAAATGAAGCAGGACAGGCTGCAGGTAAGAGAGACATGACAGCATTGTATCAAATAACCAGGTTACTCTCTGGAAGACAAGTGATCAACGCAGATGAAACCAATAAAAGATGATGACGGGGTAAATAATTACCAAAGAAGTTAACAAAAGAAACGATAGACCGACGACTTCAAGAAGCTCTTGAATCGACCACCACCTGCAATTCGTCCAGAAATACCACCTGCAGCCGCTTAACTACAAGTGAACATAAATCCTCCAACAAAAATGGAAGTCCTGAACGCCATAAAGCTACTGAAATGTGGGGAAGCAGCAGGACCAGATGGGATCCAGCCAGAAGCACTGAAAACAGACACAGAGACAACAGCGGACATGCTCACACCACCATTGCAGAAGGTGTGGAAGGAAGGGAAGGTACCTGGCTAGTGATTGGAAGAAGGGTTACCTTGTCAAACTCCCGAAGAAGGGAGACCTCAGTGTTTGCAAGAATTGGCGCGGAATCACTCTCCTGTCTACTCCAAGTGAGCAAAATATTTAGCTGCATCATCTTGGAGAGGCTAAACAATACACTGGATTCAAAACTACAACCCGAACAGGCTGGCAGGCTTCAGGAAGTACAAATCACGTGCAGACCAAATTGCAGCGCTTCGCATCATCATAGAACAGAGCATAGAGTGGCAGTCAACTCAATTCAAACTCAACTTCATCGACTTTGAAAAGGCCTTTGACAGCGTCGACCGAGAGGTAACTTGGAAACTGCTTCAACACTACGGAATACCACAAACATTTATCAGCCTCATTCAACAACTATATGAAGACGCCACATACCAGCCAAGTAATTCACAATGGGAAACTCAGTGATGCTCTTGAAGTGAAGATAGGAGTGAAACAAGGTTGCCTACTATCCCCCATGATATCCGTGATCATGGTCGACTGGACTCGATCATGCAACAAACAATGAGAAGCGAGAAGAGGGGGATACGCTGGACCGGGGAAAAGAACCTAAAAGACTTGGATTTAGCCGATGACTTGTGTCTAACGTCATGCAAACTTGAAGATCTACAGGCGAAAACTAACAAGTTGGCAGAAGAGGCAGCGAAGATGGGACTTCAAGTGAACGTAGAGAAGACAGAGGTGATGAAAATACCCAACAAACACCATCACCGACAAGCTTCAATCACCATCAACGGGAGGAACTTAAAGGAAGTAGCCTCCCTCACCTATCTAGGCAGCACCGTTTCAACTACAGGCGGCACAGATGAGGATGCCAAAGTCAGAATCGGAAAAGCAAGACAGGCTTTCATTAACTTGAAACCAGTGTGGAGATCTACTGCACTCCACTCAGCATGAAGCGTGAACAAGATCCAGATCTTCAACACCAACGTCAAATCAGTGCTTCTGTGTGATGGTCCAGGGACTTGGCGCGTTACAAAAGGGATTTACAACAAACTACACACATTCATCAACAACTGTCTACACTGGCTCGTTACTGAAGATCAGATGGCCAGAATGATGAGAATAAGCAACAAGAAACTGTGGCTGGGAACGAACCAACGAAGCAAGAAGCTATCGCTCAACAAATATGCATTGGAAGGAAGTGGAGATGGATTGGGCATACACTGAGAAGGCGGACTGGGGACATCACGCGTCAGGCCAGGCCGTCGAGTGGAACTTCGATGGGAAGCGACGAGTTGGGCATCCGAGTTGAGGGTGACATGGAGGGGATCGTGCGAGGAGAAAATGAGAGCTTGTGGGCTGTCGTGGAGCCAGGTTCAAAAGATTTCAGAGAACAGAGCGCATCGGAGATGTGCTACTGAAGCCCTATGTTCCATTAGGAACCCAAGGGACAAATAATAATAATAGTGCTGGATATCCGTCTATTTTGTAGGAGTCAGCTAACATTATTCTCCTTTGTGTGGATAACTAGAATGTATTCGTGAATTGTTTCTAGAATTATAAGCAGAAAGAATTAACTTCAGGAGCATTATCTCCATTTCAACCCCAGTACTAACGACATATTTCGTACAATATAGTTTAATCATCATATAAATTCGCACTATTACAGAATTTACCTACACACAGGGTGATAATGTAGCAAACAACTACTACAGGTCAGTCAGCATAATGCAAACATGTCCAATATGACCCAGTCAAGCTTTGATGTCTTGTGTGTACGAAACTACAGCACAGCTTGGACAAGTATCTTGTAGTGTGCTACTGTTAAGTGTGTTTATTTAGTATGTATCGCGATTCCGCTGGGGAAAGTAATGCGTTGACGTTCGAGCGGTTGAGGTCCTCGGAAACGAAGTGAGACAAATCAGGAAACACAGATGACATATGAAGAAACAGTGAGAGCTAGAGGACAATTCACCTCGGGGTTAGAATGCAGATAGTATTTGCACCAACTACACTGCATACAACGTCTTATCAAAAGTCACTTAGATTCCCAGTAGCAGCCTTTTTTCCAGATTTGTGATCCATCGAACAGGAAAGGCGATATATGTTTAGATTCCAATTCATGAGGGATATTGTGTGAATTTTTTAAAGTCATGCTGGGCCGTATTAACTTTTTGTTTTCTAAGATATGAAGAATTTCATTTAAAGTGTTTTCAAGACCCATTCAGGTGAAAAAGCACTACGACAGTCTGGAAAAATTAGCTGTCTGAAGAGTTCGGGTAGAACGAATATCCTCTCAACCTCGTCGGAAAGTGGTTATTAAGGGAAGAAAGAGGTAACTACCTTAGAGGAATACATCGCCCTTCATCAGATGTCGTTAACTGGTATTAAAATGACATAGTGTATCATCTGGAACCTCAATGCATGCAGAAATTCAGAATTTCATTGGGTGTGGAAATCCTACACCAGACAAACTAAAAAGCTACTGCAGTATTTCAAGAGACTGAAGTTCAAGAACAACAGCAGTCTGGATATAGGCTCAACATACTTAGAATGGAAACAGTCGTCTTACTAAATGAAAAGCTAGCAGACAGGTCATCAGACAGACAGAGTTAGTTATAAAGAAAACAACTTTACTCTAAGAAAGGCCTAATGAAATTCATGGCCAGCATGTAAGAATTCCCCGCTTACGATTGGATAACGCCCAAAGCTAACAAAAACACTACCTAAACGTTCACATAACACGCCTCACTTCCTCATGAAAGGAAGAGCAATCCTATGCTACTTGAACAAATTCGCGTACAGGGCACTGTAGTCTTTCATATTACGCACTGTCTGAAGGTGCTAACGTGGTTTCCTGTGATAAAAATAAGCTGTTGATACACCAATACATTCGCTTTACAACTGAGTGGCTTTTGACATTGACATATACACCTCACAAGTTCTCTGATAATATTAGCAAAGCGAACAATGAAAGAAAGCTGTGGAGCACTTTTGATGTGTATCTTTGTTATGGCTGTCCCGTACATGCTCTTTTTTAGTTTCCATGTTACCGCGCTATTTCTCATTATGAACCTTTTAGTATTGTTATTTTCCCAATTATGCTTGTTGAATAATTTAAAAAACAAAAGGCTATTATTCAAAGCTGTCGTAAAATCTTTTATTTCTGTTTTAGAAAAGAAATACTGAAATAATAATAGGAATGTGAAGCCTATTTGAGCCAAATACACTGTCCACAGGTTACTTTGTGAATTGATCATAGTTGTATCTTGCGATGAATGAATTATAGAGAAAAAAGTACGATAACGATAGAGAAAGCATCTTTCACGGAATCTAAAACAAGCGTTTCTAAAATGAAGTTTGAAGTATCCACAGCTGTTGAGTGACTGGTCAGTTATGAAGCACAAACTTGACCAGAGTCTACACATAATATCGTACTATTCATTGCCAGAAATTGGGCGTTTGCAGACACATTAGTTTCTGTACTGTCGCGAAGTAGAAGTCGCTGAAACCGAAGTAGATCGCGCCAACCAGGAGGAAATCCAGCACTGTCTTCTGTAGGTGGACCAAACGGCTCACGGACATGCACTACGTGCACGTGATTGCTAAGGCCTCGGAATAACGGTTTGCGAGTGGTATCTGTGCCTTCACTTGTGACAAGTTTGGAACTGCAAGTGTAAAAATTTCACGAAAACTGGAATTCGGCAATGATGTTCAAAATAGATGTAGCAACTTTATCCATTCCGATTTTAAGTGACGTGACAATTTGATTATGGCATGCGAATACTTCTATGTCAAACTTTACGCGACATCTTAGTATATTCTCACATACACATGTTCATTTACTAGATTACGAATGAAAATGATTGTGGGGTAATACTGCTGGTGTGTTGAATACATGAGTGGGAATCATACCCACAACCCACTGACTGACATTCAAGCCTATAGTCCAATGAACCAAAGCTTAGGAAAACAAGGTTTATTTCTGGCAGTCGAATATTTTACTAAATGAATTTCTCAGCAGTTAGAAGAACCGGTTTTCAGCACTACCATGCAAGACTTCTTCAGCAGGAATTTAGGGTTAAACCGAATATATATGAATATATTGCATTAAAGACAAGAATGGGTTGTGTTTGGTAGCACCATTCAACCTTTGTTTGTACGCAGACACTTGTTATTCTTCCAGCTTCAGGGTGACGAAATGGAAAGAATTCAACGCAGCACACAAGTATTTTGTGAAATCACTGTTGGTTTTCACGAACTTGATGGAGGAAGGAACACCTAGCCAATGCATACACATTCAGTATGAAAAGTTGTTGGTTTGCATACCCTAAGGTAAATTTTGATTAACTACAACAGCTTTTAAAGTACAGTGCTGTTATGTTAGTGGTAAAATAGATTTTTTAACAATTAACCTGCCCTGTAGGTACCTTACGTGGGAAATCATGTGTTTATTCTACTCAATCGAATAGACTTGAACGCTAATCAGTTTACATCTCTGAATTCCATAACCACTAAACAAGCAAAAACCAAGAGAACGGGATCATAAATAAATTAAAAACTGATCACAAGACCCAAGGAACTATACTACTAACGACAATCAAAGATATTTTTCATAATTACAGTGGAGAGAAAAGCATTGAGAACTTACGCTTTATTATCAGTAGTTTCAATCAGCTTCTTGCTCCGTGAGCTTGTTTAGAAAAAAATAGAATCAACAGATAAAAACTGATTACTTTCCTTCATGACCTGATACATAAAAGTCTCATAGACCTTAACAAATGTACTTGAATGCTATTTAGAACAGAAATGCTCAACTCTTATTATGGTAGCGGGACTGGTACACCATATTTCTCAAAGATGACCTGTCTGGTCAATGACTTTATGGTAAGAAGTAGTAAACATTTTTGTCACGTTAAATTCCTTCCTAATAACTGAGACCAGCCAACCATGGAATGTAGTGCTGAGTAAGCTGTTATATTACAATGAATTGGCAACTGCATAGTTTAACTACTGGAAATGCATGGCAACACAATACTAATATCTTGTTTATCTTAGTTCCAAAACTAAAACACACAAGTTACCAATGTATAAAATCGGTGGGTGAATTAGCACAAAGGTGAAACTTTAAAGCTTAAATTGTTCTGGTGAAACAGAACCTATCAATTTAACTGTAATCTTCATGCTAGTCACTTTCAGCTTCCAAATATTGAGTCAATGGTTTATTCTTCATTACCTTTATTAGATCAACGCAGACGAAGCCAATGAGAGATAGTGAAGGAAACTCAGTTACCACCAAAGAGGAGAAACAAAGGAAACAATGGACTGACCACTTCAAAAAACTCTTGAATCGACCACCACTACCACCACCTGCAACTCGTTCAGAAATACCACCAGCAGCACAGCCACAGAACTATCAGTAAACACAATCAATCCAACGAAAGCAGAAGCGAAGTCTTGAACGCCATAAACCCGCTGAAATCCGCGAAAGCAGCAGGACCAGATGGAATTCCTCCAGAAGCACTGGAAACAGATGCAGAGACAACAACAGTGGACATGCTCACACCACTACTGCAGAAGGTGTGGAGGGAAGGAAGGAAGGAAAGATACCCGTCGATTGATTGGAAGGAGGACTACCTTGTCAAACTCCTAAAGAAGGGCAACCTAATTGTTTGCAAGAACTGGCGCAATGATGAGACGTGAGATACGATACCAATTCTCTCTTCTTGATATTCGTTTTTTGAAGCGTAAGACTGTAAACTCTCCGGTTGAGTTTCATGTAACAGATGAAATCCGACGTTCGAGACTTGGTGATATGGCTCACAATCGATCTTAGGTGAAGATGCATGAACACAGCATCTTTATCACAAACATCATATCAAATTCGCCCATTGGATTACTCCCCACACTCGATCCCTCAATTTTTTTTGACTTCCTATGACTTCTGTTTACTTTTTTCCTAATTCCTTTATCTTTCCATCTTGATCCCTTCTCGCTTAATGTGCTGATTTGAAATGTCGCAACTTAGATCGTTACGCAGAAATCCCAGGCCCCATGATTTATTGACTGAATGGATTACTCGTTTTTAGACAGTTGTAACTAGAATAGAAAACGTCAATCAGTAAATTTTGCTTCATGAAAAAATACTACAGTGTAGAGTACCCACTTTCAGCATACTAATCAACCAGCATTTAACTGACACCACCCACACACACACACACACACACACACACACACACACACACACACACAAAGACCTAAATATTGCTTTGTAGAACTTGATTTCGTAAACAGTTACGCCAAAAAAAACTCAAAATAATGTGAACTATTCGATGACAAAACACAGGTATTTGGTCGAAAGCAAACGCCAGTTTATGACAGCGAGTCCCACATGCTTGAAACATATGGTGATACATCTTATGACTACTTTTCTTCGATAAGCGATGTTTAATTTCTTGGAAGATAATTCAAAATTGTTTACTCATGAGAATATCTTGAATTTGACCTATGCATATGAAACTGGTTTTATTTACACTGCCGATTAAATTAAACACAAGCGGTAGGTTGGTTAGGCTCAAAGACTTGAACCAGATAATGAACAGTATTGTTTTTGAGATTTTGTGTTGTGAAAACCCAAGATAACGGACACAGATCAACGGATAACCTGGCACAGAAACATACAAATTCAAGGTGCAACTTTACGGCAACATGCAGAGCGGATAGAGAAACAGTGATATTAAAGTAGGCAAAAGTGTATGGAGCGAGAAAGAACAAAAATGAGGGTTTGTCAAAATTCCCACTTTCGAAGATATCAAAGACTGAATGCATTGCAATTGTGACTGAATTTCAGGCTTATTAGGAAGTTTCTTAATATAGATTTCTAGTATCTCAAAGCTTCCAGCTAGGCAGTAGTTCACACGTTACACGTCTGAGACGAAAAGTCATAAACTTCACGAACTGGTAATAAAGTCTTCGTTCGGTCACCCTCAACCTACTTCCAACCCAATCTTACCTCGGATAACATTGCACACCCATGTAGGTGGTGGCTCGGGGTGTACAACAGATCCACAAATCACCTCAGCTGACGAAGGTTTACAACCTCATCGCCTAACGTCACCCGTACACCTGAGTAATGCTATAATAACATAAATGATCAAGAACCTCTAACTGCTGAATATTTTTCTACTGTCAACACCCACGTCTCCCAGGCGCATAATGCATGAAAAGAGAGGACTACAGCATAGTGAGATCCTCTTTTAATGGGTTGCTGGACATTTTACCAGTAACAAAGGTGAGGTTTATTCACAAGTGCTAAACCGTCTTTTTTCACATGAGATCAGATTTCGTCACCTAACAACCCATTTGAGCTGACGCAACTTCACAAGGAAATGAAGTGGTTAACCCATCAAAACATTTTACTCCTTATCCATCCATTAGGAGTCAGCACAGACCAGTGGTTCAACATCATCTTGAACATACTAAACAGATACCTGCTAAAGACCGTCACCGTCTTCACCAACAGGAGAATGCCATCCGTGAACATCAACTCAACCAGGTGGTCTCCTGAGTATAAGTCTACCTCCCACTAGTTTAATGCTACATGTAAGCAGGATCTTCTCCATTAACACACATATAACAACGTCCGATAGCAACGGCAAATGTGGACGTTCTCGACGAACACCCCTGGTTATAGTTACCTCTAACAACTTCAAATTAAAAACATGAGTATCAATAAAGCACCAAAAGCACAGTACAATTGCTCAAATACCCACTTCACAGTCGACATCGCAATAAATCTCGTCGGCAGAGAGACTACCATTAGGTCAATAATACACCTAGACTAATGTCAACACACTCACGAATATAACCACTCACAGGCGCACCTGTCTTCTGTTACTACATACAGATTTCATTGGTCTAGACACTATTTCTAACCTGTGGCTCATGAGTCCAAGTCTCACTTCGACTACCAATATTTCGACACTCATGTGATATTATTAGCTCCAACAGAATAGAAGCGATTTGGTACCGAGTCTACTAGTTCGTTTCTGTGTAGCAATGTGAACCGATAGTCAGGGGCGGTGTGCCTTTAGATTGACGGCAGTGGGATAGATTGATTTGTGTTATCTTTCCCTAAATTGCACTATCACATATCACTTTTCTTAAGTCTCATATCTTTTGTGATTTTGGAGAGTAGTTTCAAATGCTTTCCATACTTCCATACTGAAATTCGTGAAGACCTAAGCCGCTTAATAATAGACCAGGTTCTATGCTAGCATTCCACTTTACTTCATTTATTATATACAGAACACTGTGGAACAGTACTATTTACTGGATTGCTATTCAGACAACTTTTTATACAAACCATGTCTCAAAGCTGATAACATTATGGACTAAACGTTGCGTCCAAAACGAAACCAAGCGAATGATACTCCTCGACTGCGATAGATTTAACAAATTTAATGAAATGTAATTGCATTCCACCACATAGACAGAGAGCGTCAGTGTAGAACCTCCCACACAGGTGCCTCAGCTCAACTCGTCACACCACGGTAGTATTCAAAGAGCGGGTCGACAGAAAAAGTGATGTCAAGTAGACAAAGTTGTGTGAGGGAGTAAACAATCTGAAGATAAGTTAGTGCAAATATTCAAGCTTTAAAGAGTGTATACACATGCGTCACTGTGACAGGTTTCCAGCCATGTGACCAAGAGTCTCTAACCACTGATTCCTATCGTCTTCAGTACTCCAACCAGGCAGTCTGCATCTCCCTGCACAGCTCAGACCAACAGTAAGAGACTACATGGGGTGGTGCCACGTCCTAGTCTGGTAACCTTGGGCCTTATTTCAACCTAATCCAACTTCCCCCAGCATCGCACGCCGAGGTAGGCGGTGGCTCGCCATGAGCACCACATGTCCAAGCCCCCTCAATCGACTAAGGTTCACAACCCCATCAGTCGACTTGCCTAGTACCCTACCCTTCACCTGACCTCAACATTGCTCACATGGTGATTTCAACAAACGTGAGCAATGCTATGAAGACACCTATGATCAAATCCCTGTAACCACTCCATGTCTTTTACTTTCAACGGCCATACAACGTGACAGAAGGGACTGCAGCGCAGTATACTCGGCCTTTGATAGATAGCCGGATATCTCGCCGGTCGACACCAGAGATGACGCAATTTGCCAAATGCCAAACGGGTCTTCTGTATCCCAGATGAGATTTCGTTAGCAACCAGCCTGTTCGAGCTGATGCAACTCTTTAAGTAAGTGAAGTGGTCGACATATCCCATCACTCCATCCCCTATCATTAAACTGGAGGTGGTTTTAAACCAGTTCTGGAGCAGCATCTTACATTCGACGGGTGCGAAACACATGCCAAACATAATCAGATTTCTGCCCCACGCTTGTAGATCCTCCACTTTGTCAGCGTCTTCAACTAGGAGGACAATATCATCTGTACACCCTGTGACCAATCTCTGTGCAGTTAGACGTACTTAAGGTGATGTTCATTGGTGAGTCTACAACGAAGTTAAACAGGAACGGTAACAGTGGGCTTCCTCGCCAGACACCACCTAGTCACCGTCAGTTCATATGACAACCCTGCATAAGCCATGGGTGAGCTCGAATAAAAGATTTGATCAGCGTTATATACTTTTTCGGTAATCGCTTTACCGTAAGACACCATCACAAAACCTCACAGTCGGCAGAGCGAAATCATGCCGCCAGTAGGGATGCCTGTGTTCCAGCATGCTAGAGGATTAAAAATAAAATCAACGCACTCTCGTCCATATCTTAAACCTGCCTGGTTTTCACAAGTTGGTTGTTCCCAAGACCCAGCCGGGTGTCGCAAACCTGTGCATCTCAGGATCCTGGACGCAATATTTGTTGAACCAATACCCTTATGGTTCTCACAAGAAAACTTCCCTCTCTTCTTAGAGACTGGAATAATCAATAAACAAGACTAGTATGACATCGCTAACACTGGTCCCCCATACACTACCTTGTGTCTCCGCCATTTTAATCAGCACTTTCCTACCTTCATTCTTGAAATCCCTGGATGGCAAATCGTCAGGTCATGCTGCTTTCCACCGTTTCAGGTTCGATACAACCTTCCCAACTGCAAAGGGAGTTGGAGGTACCACATCTACGTCCCGTTCAGGTCCAGGCTGGATGTTGGGCAACTGAACCGTAAATGGGAGCCAGTTGAGCTATGTTTCGAAATGCTCTGCTCAATTTTCCAGCCACCTTTCCCGAGAGGCTAGCGGGGTACCATCCTTTCCGGCAGTGGTTTCAAGCATCATTGTCTTTTTCTAGTCAGGATTTTTGATAAGCCTAAGTAGTTCCCAGGTGCTACCCAACACCGATGCCTTCTCCATCTCCTTCGCATTCGTCACTCACCACTGCTCGCGATCGAACAGAAGGCTCTTGGTCAACTTACCTTTAAGCTACTTTCGCTCTTCATTGTGGTCACGGCCAGCTGGAATCAGTCTTCTCGCACCAACCAGTTCAGATGATGTCACGGAAATCCAATGACGTTTGGAAACCTTCGGATGTAGGTTACAAACTGTCTTTACCGCCGTTTCTACAGCAGACTTAATATCACACCAGGTTTCCTCAGGATGGGCATTGCTGTATTGCTACGATAAATGCTTCGTTAACCCCCACCTAAATACGTGTTCGGCGTCCTCGTCTTCCAATTGAGCATAGACAATCACTACTACTCCGTGTTTCCTGCATCCAGCAAGGCGCAGACATACACGAGCTCGTGATAGCGTGTGATTGGAATCCAAACAGGCATTCGAGAAAGAGTGACAATCTTCCACCGATTCTCTCCAACGATGGTTGGGTTCATAACAATATGATCTATCCATGTCCATCGTTGGTTTCTTGTGGGCCGATGCCCTGTGAGACTGCTTCTCCTTATGCTTAAAGTTAGTGCTGGTGAGAAACAAGTGATTGTCGCAAGGAAATTACCAGAAACGGCTGCCTGTTCGGTCCGTTGGCATGAGATTCTGTGAATGCCCCCAAGATGCAGATCCATTCAGTCGAATAGTATATAGACGGCTGTTGACTGGTATCCAGTTGAGAAGCACACTTTCTGCTATACAACTCAATGCTATCTCTACACCAGTCAGTCTGCGAAAGCTAACCACTGGGTCTCCAGACACTCAAGGTGGATTTAAGGGACTCACTATATTGGGCAGGTGAAGTCAATTTAATAACCACATTGGGGTCCTGTATACGTGTTTTAGAGACACAGCATACATCCATGGATAGAGATTCCAGAGTTTTGGCCAGTGATGTTTGTTGTTCGAGCCGGCATAGATTTTGGATTTTGAGATCTACATGAAGTCGACACTGGGGTCTTCAGAGACTAAGGATGAGATCTAGATGGCTTTGAATGTTGGCAATGGTCACAGGATGAAAGGTGAGGAAAGATGCAAGGGGTTTAATCCTACTATCAGATAGTGAAGACAAAAGAGAAAAAACTTAGGAAAATAGGTTGTTTGATTGGGTCTTGTGCTCTGCTGGAAGCGAGCGTCTAATTGACACTTCCCGGCTGCACACATCGTGGAAGGCTAGTTCTTAATCAGGTATTTGAAAAAGGGATAGTGTGCAACCGCAAAGCCCATGAGACATTGCTTGAAGCCGGTCACACTTGGTCTTTTAGCAAGTTTGAAATTTTTGTTTCGTTCTTCCAAATTCGACTACGAATCCCTGTTGCAGGCTTGGAATGCCGTGAGCGGTGGGAGTGTGCTACTTTTGGGGCCAGCCTTTCTAAGGCCCTCTCCCTATCCATAGGGAAGGCGGCATCAGCATGGCACCACTGTTCATCTAATGGAAATTCCTTACTGCTGTCACACTCCTGTGAAGTCAGCAGTATAACTTCACCCTCAGACCTCCATCACAGCGTAACAATTTGCACCATAGTGGTAATCGCCTTTTGTTTAACTACTATCTATCAGACTTTTCTGATATGATAGGATCTCGAGGGAACAAGCGCTCCACTAGCACAGCTCGCTGGGTCACTGTGATATACAAGCTCAACAACCATGTCAAGGTAACAGCTGTCAATCGGGATTCTATCACAATCGCCAAGTTTTTTACGTCCATGCCAGTACTTTTGGTTTCGAGAACGAATTTGCATGTAGATGTTGAGTCGGGTTTTTAAAACTTTCGCATCCAGTAAGTCGTGCAATGAATGATAAACAATTCGCATTTACCTAACAGCGTGGATGTCAGAAACTTACTTAAAAGATATGCATATATGAATGCCCAGTGAGAACGAGCTAAATTAATAGCTTCTAATGCAGCAGGTCGACTGGGAAATTCCACGACAGCACTGATTTTCACACCGAGCTGCGGATGCAGAATCTGAGAACGCTTCAGATCAGAGGGAACCTTGCGACCTGGGAGAAATACACGCACCAACGCAGGAGGTTGTCCATTATTCTGAAGTTTAAGACAAAAATAGAAATAAAAATATGAACCACAAAAAGTCCTATTGCCATTCAATCAAATGAACATTGCTGAAGTAATCATCTTCAGTTTGTGGATGAAGACCAAAAAAAATTTAATCAAGTTTTAGACATCTCTGATTGACAAAGTGGAGGATCTACAAGCGTGGAGCAGAAATCTGATTATGTTTGGCATGTGTTTCGCACCCGTCGAATGTAAGATGCTGCTCCAGAACTGGTTTAAAACCACCTCCAGTTTAATGATAGGGGATGGAGTGATGGGATATGTCGACCACTTCACTTACTTAAAGAGTTGCATCAGCTCGAACAGGCTGGTTGCTAACGAAATCTCATCTGGGATACAGAAGACCCGTTTGGCATTTGGCAAATTGCGTCATCTCTGGTGTCGACCGGCGAGATATCCGGCTATCTATCAAAGGCCGAGTATACTGCGCTGCAGTCCCTTCTGTCACGTTGTATGGCCGTTGAAAGTAAAAGACATGGAGTGGTTACAGGGATTTGATCATAGGTGTCTTCATAGCATTGCTCACGTTTGTTGAAATCACCATGTGAGCAATGTTGAGGTCAGGTGAAGGGTAGGGTACTAGGCAAGTCGACTGATGGGGTTGTGAACCTTAGTCGATTGAGGGGGCTTGGACATGTGGTGCTCATGGCGAGCCACCGCCTACCTCGGCGTGCGATGCTGGGGGAAGTTGGATTAGGTTGAAATAAGGCCCAAGGTTACCAGACTAGGACGTGGCACCACCCCATGTAGTCTCTTACTGTTGGTCTGAGCTGTGCAGGGAGATGCAGACTGCCTGGTTGGAGTACTGAAGACGATAGGAATCAGTGGTTAGAGACTCTTGGTCACATGGCTGGAAACCTGTCACAGTGACGCATGTGTATACACTCTTTAAAGCTTGAATATTTGCACTAACTTATCTTCAGATTGTTTACTCCCTCACACAACTTTGTCTACTTGACATCACTTTTTCTGTCGACCCGCTCTTTGAATACTACCGTGGTGTGACGAGTTGAGCTGAGGCACCTGTGTGGGAGGTTCTACACTGACGCTCTCTGTCTATGTGGTGGAATGCAATTACATTTCATTAAATTTGTTAAATCTATCGCAGTCGAGGAGTATCATTCGCTTGGTTTCGTTTTGGACGCAACGTTTAGTCCATAATGTTATCAGCTTTGAGACATGGTTTGTATAAAAAGTTGTCTGAATAGCAATCCAGTAAATAGTACTGTTCCACAGTGTTCTGTATATAATAAATGAAGTAAAGTGGAATGCTAGCATAGAACCTGGTCTATTATTAAGCGGCTTAGGTCTTCACGAATTTCAGTATGGAAGTATGGAAAGCATTGAAACTACTCTCCAAAATCACAAAAGATATGAGACTTAAGAAAAGTGATATGTGATAGTGCAATTTAGGGAAAGATAACACAAATCAATCTATCCCACTGCCGTCAATCTAAAGGCACACCGCCCCTGACTATCGGTTCACATTGCTACACAGAAACGAACTAGTAGACTCGGTACCAAATCGCTTCTATTCTGTTGGAGCTAATAATATCACATGAGTGTCGAAATATTGGTAGTCGAAGTGAGACTTGGACTCATGAGCCACAGGTTAGAAATAGTGTCTAGACCAATGAAATCTGTATGTAGTAACAGAAGACAGGTGCGCCTGTGAGTGGTTATATTCGTGAGTGTGTTGACATTAGTCTATGATTGACCTAAAGGCAGTCTGCCTTTGCAGACGGAGGTAAGGCGGTGTAACAAACCAAACTTAATATCACTGTTAAGCCTTTTCTAAGCTGCGCGCCGAAGGTACTGCTTAGGAAGGGGATTCAACTCCGTGAATAGAAATTTTTTAGAGACGAGGGTAAATGCGGAACAACTCAACAAGCATTTGTAACTACAATCTGAAATACTTAGTTAGGTGTGCGGTAACATGCGATTTTGGAGGGGCTTAGGAGTAGAAACTACTGGGTTTGTAATTAAATTCATCGGCTCACAGTGTAAGTGCGAAGCCGCAGAAATTCAGAATAATCAATATAACTGCCGATTACCGAGTGCAATTGATAAAATGCATTCTGTTGGGAGAATGGAGCATCAGCCGATTACTTTTCTGACTGTGAATCTGCGCCATGTACAGAAATGTAGACTTTTCATCTGTGGTTCAGAGATCTTAGTGGTGCCGATGCACCCAAGTAGCATCTATATCTTAAGCGTCATCAATATACGTGAATCACTCGTACATACCACTCTTGAATAACTACAGCTGTGGGAGCAGCATTTTATCGGCAAGTGAAATTGCGCAAGGTAATGTGGATGGGAATATCCAAAGCACAGGTTTAGTCGTGACGTTAAATATAGGACTCGAACGGAGAAAATAAAGTAATACAATAGGCTACTGAACAACTAACTCCTATTATATTAAATACAGTGATCATACAGTTAAAGTGAGGAATCGCTAGGTTTAACAGTAAATCTACTCACCACATCTCCCGTACTCTTGAAAACGTACGTCGCTACTTACAGTGATGCAGCACCTAAAAAATTGATTCGGGGACAACCTATGTCCCCAAAACCGTAAAGCGCCTCTGTGAGAAAGTGAAGGTTGGCTTTTTATGTCAAGCTCATTAGGTAATCTCTACCTCTATTTTGCAGAATACATTGCTCGCTGATTTCATCACTTGTTTACCTGACACTATGATACTGGTTTAAGTGACTAAGTCGATAAGATGCTGGATAAACAGTCGCAGCTAATGGTAAAACTCTCACATGCCTACGACAGCATAAAGGCAGATTCACCCCAGATTTAGGATTTGAAGACGGACTTCAGGAGGAAGACACAATAGGGAAGAACTTACCGTGAAAAACTCTGTAATACTCTCCACGGTAACGTTAGAGTTCATTGGAAAATCTGATAATATGACAGAACGTCCGTAAACCGACTTGTCCCACACGGGTAAGGGATCACGACGTCGAATCGTCATCCCATCTTCGGATATCTCTAGTTTGGCTGAGGCTGTTAGGGCTTTCCGGATAACATCATGGTCCGTCGATAAAGCCTGCATCTTTTTAAAGTTTGCAATGATAACAAGGTCCACCCATCCTTCTTTAGATGACTTCACTAGTTTAAGGAGAAACTGGTCCTTCAGAATATTCGCATCTGAGAAGTAAAATTCACACTGCCGAACAATCTCTGCATTTTTCTGTTCTGAAATGGACTGGCTACACACAACGATATTCTCCTTATCATGCAGCTCTGAAGAACCCAAGCACACTCCCTCCACTTCCATCTTGATGCATGCAAAGATCAGGCGGTAACCCCAACCAATGTAGGTGGCTGCGCACTCAAGGTCATTGTGCTAAAACTGCATTGGTGCGTCACGCACGAAATTAAGTACTTTGCTCTTGGCGCTAAGTTCACAAACCAATCTGTACATACGCTCGTCGCAGCTCGGTATCGAAACTAATTTCTATATTTCCTCACAGAGACTGACAGTTTTCCATCTACACAGAGAAACTAATCCTGGAATATAGTAGGTTAGATACCAGCCATAACTTCTATTCTCTAAGAGTTGTTAAACCCTGGGACGACACTTTTGCTAATAATAATAATTATAATAATTCACTTTATTCCGAACAATTTGTGGTAAAATTTGGAAATCTCAGCGTTAATATATATTGCAATAACAACGAAGTATAACTACGTACATACTACCATGCAACCTTTTGGATTGTCTTATCAAAAAAATATAAATTATGTTGTAGCATCACACACTTCCCCAAAATCAATAGCCTAGGGTTTGACGACTTTCGACATTGATGCTGACCTTGATAGTTTAACTGGACTCGCTAAGCTGAAGGCACCGGTCAAGCATCCTCGCCATTTGGCACGCTGTCGTGTTACGTTGCATTGCTCGTATTCGACTCTCTAGCCAGTTAGTTGGAACGCATCGGTATTTTGGCATAACCATCCAAATATACTATTCCATCCGACTACGCTATCGTGTTCTTCCTTGGTCTCGTATTCGTGGGTATATAACAAGTTCGAATAATTAGTGATTGGTCTTTGCGTCTGTCAAGTTCGCACCAGGACAAATCCTAAATTGGTGAGCCCGACGTGATCACATATCCCGACCAATAACAAGTATTGAATTGGTGAGCCTGTTCCATTTTATATTTGTTTATTGTTTTCATTTCGATAACATTTATATATCCATTTACTACACTTTCTCATGTCCGACCACACTCCCAAGCTTATTCGTATTAAGCCGACTCGAACACGATCCAACTCGTGCCATATTGGCCAGACAATGCAGAAACATGGTTTCTGTATGCCGAGGCCGATTTTCGAGAACAGGGTGTCTCAGATCCTCATCTCGATTTCTTGCTGTCATACGTTCACTACCGCGAGAATTAAACAGGTATGTTACAGCAAACATGTTTAATCCTGAAGTAAGTGACCCTTATGCACTTCTAAAGGCCGCACTCTTGAAGAAAAGCGATCTCACAGATCGCCAACGTCTAGACGAATTGCTTCGTAACATCGAGCTAGGCAGCCACTCAGCTACTGAAGTCCTCGCACGCATGCGAGAAGTAATCGGTGCACGAACATTTGACGATGGTTTCTTCCGAGAACTATTTCTCTCGAAACTACCACAACCGGTGCAAACCGTGTTGGTGACACTCCAGTCAGTCCCACTCGACGACCTGGCAGCCTCAGCAGATAAAATACTGGAGATATCCAGCAGACCCGTCTCCAACGTATATTCTATCTGCGACAAAACAGAGCGCCAGGATTCCGAGGTGACCAAGTTGTGCAACTCTGTGAAACGGTTGCTACGATCTCGAAGTCCTAGATCACGTAGCACTTCACAGAAACGCACCTTGGCGCATCGCAGCAAGTCGCGTGGTAGCCCTAAAACGAAACCCAACAGGGTGGAAAACCCTGAATGGTGCTGGTTTCATAACACTTACGGGGATGAAGCCAGAAAATGTCGTAAACCATGCCGTTTTAAGGACACAAACTCGGGAAACGGTCACGCCGGCACGTGCTCACGGCAACCGTAGCCGGCGGAAAAAGCCGTTTGCTCTACGTCACCGACATTAAAACGAAAGTCCGCTACCTCGTCGACACCGGCGCAGAAGTTAGCGTTCTTCCAGCAACGACAAAGGAGCGTCATCTCGACCCATCCTTCAATCTTCAAGCAGCCAACGGCAAGGCAATCGCGACATTCGGGAGACGGTATGCCTACCTCAACTTAGGTTTACGCAAACCTATCCACTGGATTTCCTCCTGGCTGACGTCTCTATGCCCATCATTGGCATAGATTTGCTAAACCATTACGATCTACTCGTAGATGCTCGCCGTCGACGACTGATAGATAACAACACAAAGTTATCTATTGGCGGCACCACCTATGTAGGTCCGAGTTTAGCCATCGTTAGGACTAAACAATCAGGCGACGCGTCCTACCAGGCAGTTCTGGAGAAATATCCAGAGTTACAACAACCGAAGCACACTCTTCCGTGCATAACCAGCAATGTTATGCATCACGTCACAACCACAGGTCCACCTGTGGCATCCAAAGCGCGCCGTTTAGCCCCCGATAAGCTCAAAACGGCGAAAAATGAATTCGACCACATGCTCGAACTGGGCATTATCAGACCGTCAAACAGTCCTTGGGCATCGCCATTGCACATGGTTCCCAAAAAGGATAGCAACGACTGGCGTCCAACCGGTGATTACCGAAGGCTTAACGCCAAAACAACTCCGGACTGCTACCCTATACCTCACGTTTACGACTTGACCGCAACCTTATGCGGCATGAACATTTTCTCCAAAATCGACTTGTCAAAGCGTACAACCAGATACCTATGGCAGCAGAAGATATCGCGAAAACAGCCATTATTACTCCTTTTGGCCTGTTTGAATTCCTGCGCATGCCATTTGGTCTTCGGAATGCAGCACAAACATTCCAACGCTTTATGGATGTCTTCCGTGGTTTGAATTTTGTTCATGTCTACATCGATGACTGTCTAATTGCGAGTCCAGATAAGGAAACTCACCTTAAACATTTGGACCTCGCATTCGAAAGACTTAAAAAACATGGCATCACAGTTAACTTACAGAAGTGTGAAATAGGAGTTGAATCACTCAGCTTCCTTGGGCATACCATTGACAACAAAGGTATACGCCCATTGAGAGATAAAGTGGCGGCTATCACAAACTATCCAGAGCCGACCACTGTGAAACATCTCCGCACTTTCAATGGCCTGGTAAGTTATTACCGAAGGTTTATCCCTAACTGTGCCTCTGTCATGAGACCACTCACAGATCTACTTCGAGGAACTGCGAAGTTCGTGTCTCTGGACAACGCGGCTAGACTTGCTTTCTCTAAAGTCAAGGAAGCCATTTCGAACGCAACCATGCTTATGCATCATGACCCCAATGCTCCTTGAGTATTGCTGTTGATGCATCTGATTCAGCAATTGGAGCAGTTTTGCAACAATTGACTGACAACCAGTGGCAACCGGAAACAAGATACAGTACATTTGGTAGGGAACTCCTAGCTATGTACTGTTCTGTACGCCATTTTCGACATTCTGTGGAAGGTCGTGATTTCATTATTTTCACAGACCACAAACCGTTAACGTTTTCCCTCAGCTCGGCGTCTGACAAATACCCCCTCGTGAGTCGCGACAGCTGGATTACATTTCCCAGTTCACGTCAGACATCCGACACATTTCTGGAGCAAATAACTCCGTAGCCGACGCACTATCACGAATAGCTTCGATAAATCATATCGAGGGCGTTGATCTCGTTGAACTAGCTCGGCGTCAAAAGGAAGACCTTGAGCTGCATCACGAGTTGTCGTCCACAACTCTCAAACTGCGACTTTGTCCTGTTGGATCAGACAAGGATACAATTTTGTGCGATGTCTCTGCTAGTCAACCACGCCCAATAGTTCCGAAGAGTTGTCGACGCAACGTCTTCAATACGTTGCACAAACTCTCTCATCCAGGTGTACGAGCCACCATTAGGCTTATCGCACAACGATTCTGCTGGCCTGGGATGAACAAAGACGTTAAGGAGTGGGCTCATTTGTGCTCAGTTTGCCAAAAGTGTAAAGTCAGGCGACACACGAAAAGCTCTTTAGGCTCTTTTCTAGCCCAAATTACCATATAATGAAATTTTTTTAAAAAGGTGAAAGTAAGCGTAAATTTTTATTTTTCGATATGTTTACATATAAATAATTCCCATTTTTACGCAACGTTTTCGTGGTGTTAAAGACTTTTATTTATACTCCAGGTGCAACGAGCACTGGACGGAACGTCAAAAGGAACTGAGGACCGCAATCGACGTCCAATTCGATTTATTGTATTTCATTATTTTACAGCCACCACACCCTAGAACAAGTTCAGACAACCAGGGGCCACTTCACTCAGTGAGCCCATCGAGAGAGTTTTACTAGTGAAGAAACCACTGGGTTTTTACTTCCGGCTGGCATCGTCTTAGGGTCCTCACGAACCCACTAGGGGGGAGTGATCTGTAGAGTCACACACTTCCCCAAAATTAATAGCCTAGGGTTTGAAGACTTTCGACATTGATGCTGACCTTGATAGTTTAACTGGAATCGCTAAGCTCAAGGCACCTGGTCAAGCATCCTCGCAATTTGGCACTCTGTCGTGTTACGTTGCACTGCTCGTATTCGACTCTCCAGCCAGTTAGTTGGAACGCATCGGTATTTCGGCACAACCATCCGAATATACTATTCCATCCGACTACGCTATCGTGTTCTTCCTTGGTCTCGTATTCGTGGGTATATAACAAGTCCGAATAATTAGTGATTGGTTTTTGCGTCTGTCAAGTCCGCACCCGGAGAACTCCTAAATTATGAAGAATATTATAAACGAGAAAATTTTGGATTGTAATTTAATTATTGAAATGAGGTTTTTAACTGTCACAAAGTTGGTGTGTGATCTCTGTCCTGACTCTTGCTTAGGTAATGTACAGTCGAATTCTTAAACTTAGCTGTACGAGCGTACAGTCTTGTGTAGTTTCTGCTTGTCCTCTCTGAGGAAATACATGGAGAGAGCTGTAAATGCAGTGGATGTTCACTGTCAGTTAAAATTTCTGTAGCTAGCAGCTTGCAGGAATTTATATGTCGATCAACTACAGTGTTAATCAGTTGAGCCAAAGGCACACCACTCACCCTGCTGACGGTCTTCATAGCCCTAGGCAACATAACATAGTCCCTTTTAAGAAGACCAGGAAAGATTAGTGGGGAAC